TCACATAATAACATAAATTATCTTAATGAAATGATAAACAATTTTTTATTACATTGTACAAAAGTGAGTGGTAGTGGCGAACAATGCGGTATATGGTATGATTGGTTTTGTATTCGCTCTTATGACCAGCCATACGTCCACTAAACAGCCACTTCCCAGCCCGTCAAGTCATTGATGACAAAGCGAAAAAAAAAACATTCAACCAAATTATGGGCCCATAAAAATTCACATTGAATCAAGCAAACATGTCTTTTTCATTCAAAGAATTTTTTCTTTCACAATGTCTGTGATTCCAGTTCTTAAACGTGTTATAATAAATCGAAAAATCTTTAAAAAATTGCTAATAAAACTAACATTTATTGTAGTCTTTAACAATGGGCCATTATAATTTTTGGCAGACATTTGTTACAATGAGTGAATGAAAAACTCAAAAAAAAAAAATGAAATTTCTTTCTTGACTCCAAAATGTGAGTCACATTTTATGTTGGAGTATTGTATGGGGTTTTAAAAAAATATTTAAAAAAATATGTGTATTTGTTACGGAAAGCTACAGAAATGTGGTATTGTTCTGGACTTGTAAGCCATGATCTTTCATATTATTTGAAATATATATTTTATTTCAGACAATAAATAATAGTATTCCCAATACAATATCCATACAAATTTTTTAAAATAAATTTATTTTCATCTTCCTTATTAAATTATAAATATAGAACTATGTAGAATAAAAAACATTTCCATATTTAGAATTTTTGCTAAAAATATTCAAAAAAAAAAAAATCGTTTTAAATGAGGTGATTTAAATATCAACTTACAAATAATCTGCGGTTCCTTCTATATCAAATAGAAAATGGTTGTCCAAAGAAATATGACTTTTTTATTTTGGCATCCGCCTTAATTTCTAAACATTTCCGAGATATTTTGCTCGTTTTTATTGTTTTTTTCGTAACAACGTAAATGGGAATGCTCTTCTTCTAAAATAAATGCACCTCTTCTAAAAACCAGGCCAGGGACAAAGACATTCCTCTTAGATATAACATTAATCCCACACCAAATTTCGACCCCTAAATATTTTCATATATCAAATTCTATACCAAACTTTGAAGATGAGGACTTACCTATGGCTTACCGTACCAATAGCATTTCGATTGCATTGCCAAATTCTGACTATCACCGGTTTTGCCTAAATCGACACAGAACCCCGATTACATTTTAGCGCCATAATAGTATTGGAATCTGGCGCCATTATTTCAGTATAATTTTATTATATTTTAAATAAATGGAGGAAGGTATAAAATAAGAGTAGTAAGGGTTCATATTCAAAATTAGTTCAACTCTGCTGTCTTGATTTTTTAATACTTTACGGCAAAACATACCGAAATTGACATATTTGGTATCAACATTATATTCATTTCAATGTGATGAAAGTGAAAAGGAAATAAAATATATTGGGGATATTTTTCTTTTCGTCGGATACATTCTAATCCTATTGTGTTAAAAAAAAATACAAAAATTTTACGAAGAGTACAAATTGTTCCCTCCCTTTTACAATACTTGCAGTTACATTGTTTTGTTTATATATTTTTGATGGTTTGCCATGAAAGAAGTATTTCCCGGATGGCATGTACAAAAGTGAAATCTAAACATTTCTTTGACTGTTTCCTTGTTGATTTTGTATGATTTGTACACCGCTTGGACTTAGTGTTGTTGTTATTTGTTTTTTTTTTTTTCATTGCCATTTGGAGTCCACGCAGATCGACTACAAGAAACAGTAGCAACAAGTACAAAAATTTAAACCGTTTATTGATTGTTGTTTGGAATTTTTAAAAGAAAACAAAAATGAATTCATAAATAATGTTAAATAAACAAGAGGCAACTTTGTTGAATTTGTTATTAGAAATGTTCGATTCGAGAGTATTTCGGGTACATGAATGACGATGTGTTCATGGTAGTTGTTAAATTATTTACCCAAGAGATGGATGATCTAAATATATATTTCATTCAATAATGATTTAAATTGATTTCTAAACAAATTGTAATTTTAAATATTTGATTATTATTATTGACAATTGCTCATTTAATATTAAGAAGGTTTCAAACAAGCTCCTTCTACTTTAATCTAAATTACTTTTTGAAAAATGTTCTTATAACTTTAATTTTAAAATGACTAATTTTAATATATTATAGCATATTTTTCAATAATTTACAAAAAATTATATTTCCCATTATTTACTCCACTCTGGCAACTCTTCGAGACTCATTCAAATCATTCTCTCTCAGTTAAAATTACTCAAACTGAAATTGAAACGAGAGTTTAACCCCCAAATAAACATTCACATTTCTCTTCTCACTACAATGACTCTCTGTTGAGCGTGTTTCATGAGAGCAATTCCATACAACGTGGTAACGGTGGATGGCTATTCCATAACTTACACAGCCATACTCTTTTACCTGTGCTCTGTTTGGTTTTGTTAGTAAAAGATGAGTTTGTTGTTGGTGTTGCTGTTTATATCGACAGCCATGTTGGCTGCCATAATTGTTATTTGGTTAGTTATTAGAAGAGTACAACTATATAGCAATTTGCTCTATCTTAAACGAGACATTTATATGGCAATAAAATTACAGAGCTGTAAAGGAGTAAAATTACTTATTGGCATATTGCTTAGTTATGGTGGGAAAATGGGCAGCAAGTAGACAGCCACCACGACCCTGAGAGGACCTTAAATTACATTGTTGCAAGAGATCAATAAATAAGGTTAATATTTTAATTATTTGAATAATTTTATTTTAAATTGAAGATTGGGATTCAATGTTGGAAAATCATTTGTACAAGAGTTTATAAAAGTATTAAGTGTTGTGTTCACTGAGTCAAATACAGGGACGTCGTTTTTGAAAATAAAATCATATTACCAATAAATTACTCTTTCTACTGGGTTTTTCAAAATACTAAGGGTTTTCTATTAACTGTCTGACAAAATATCATAAAGATAATTTTTATGACATAATTTCCCAATTTTGTATAAAGGTATAAGTATAAACTTAATATACATTTTCCAAACGATCTCACAAATTATCAATTATTATTTCCAACTCAATACAGTATCCTTGTTAAAGACTTTATGATAGGTTTATTCTAAAAATTAAAAAGAAAATCTGTGATTGTTTTTACGAAGAAATTGGTGTATTTCGGTCACTATGAAAGATCCAAGTTTCGAAAAAAGAGGCAATGCTAGATGTGTGCTTAAGACCCCTCAAGTACTTAAAATAATATTGGTAATATTTTAACAATTATATAATGAAGGGTCAATATCTCGAAATGTGTTAGAATTTTTCAGTTGAAAAATTCTTTCACAAAAGAGTCCATATTTTGACCAATCCTTATATATATGTTTCTAACTTAATAAAATATCATTAGAGCCTGCTCTAGATTTTCTTAAAATTACTTCAAATATTCTAAAAAATGTTCTTCATTTTATGAGTGAAACTTGCCAAAAAAGTGTCTGGTCAAAAATTATTTTCAATAACTTCGTAAGTAAGGAATTTAAACGAAAAAATGTAAAATCATCTTCCGACATATTTTCGGAATTTCGCAACGTTTTTGTACACTTTTATCTGCGGAAATGATTTTCATAAAATTTATATTGTATAAATTAGTTTCAGTTCCCCATTTTTTTTAACAAAGGATTAAAGCAAGTCAATAGCACATAAATTACATAACTCCCTATCTTGCATGATGCACTATGCGAGACTGATAAACAATCTGCAAAATTTCTTGAGGATAAACCTCAAAGACCTCCCATGGCATACAAAAAATAACCTTACCGAATAACATAAAAAACAACTGGAAAATTCCCCTTAAAAAACCTTTGCCTTTTACGCAATTGTATGCCGGAAAATACAAATATTTTAGTAACAAACATCAAAATATTAGCAAATATCCCACCAAGATTTACCTGTTTACAATTGATTTTTGGAAACCGTGAAATATAAAAAAAGAAAAATATTTTTTATGCTGATAAGTTTTCCGAAAAAAACACGGTTAACAATAGCTAACAGCAGCACTTGGCTAAACAATAGCTAAAGGGTGCCATAAACAAAAACAGCTAAAACCAATAACAACATTTATAGCTCTGAAAAAAAAACTCAAATACGATAGGTACAGGTAGCCTGGAAAATTCCCTTAAAAAGGCAAAGAGTTTTTTGCACGCACAAAAAATTGCCCACGGATTTTGCTAACACAAAACAAATACTAAGATTTACAAGCGCAACGAAACAATTTGTAGGAAGGAATTTACTTTTTTTACCTCATCTCCTGCACCATGCCCGGCTAACAAAAAGCCGACGCGAGGACATGCTGTGTCGTATGGCGCATTACCGCATGGTGTTTATCTCGTCAATTGCATGACGACAACGCTTGATTGTGCGTAGTTGAGCATAGGAATTGTTGAAAAAAAAGTTTTAGCTGTTTACCCTTTTTCTTCTATGAGCGTCCAAGTGGAACAACAACATGGCTGGAGGTCCAGACACACACTTGCCATAAACAAAAAACCCAAGGTGTCCATTCGCCCTGGGTATCAAAATTGAAAAGGCAGCTGAGATTAAAATTGAAACAAAATAAACAATTGTTAGATGTCTGGTTGCTTTTGGTTCTCAAAGCAATTTCCAGGCAAGCAGCAACAATGAAATATAAAATTCTGAAAAAACATTGTTTCAAGTTATGAAAGAAAGGCTTCTTTCGAATAAATATATAAACTCCATTTCAAAAACGTCGTTTGTTAGATCGATTTATTTTTTTCTCTTGGAAATCTTGATATGAATTAAACAAATTCATTAAAAAAAACTTTCCTGAGTTATTTTAACGTTTGGGGTTGCCTTCTTCACTTAATTAATGTCCAACCATAATTTGCATATTTTCTTTTTGTTCTTGTTGAAACAAAATGAAATGAATTTCGAAGTCTAATTTCTTTACTTTATTAAATGTCATTTCTCTGTAATTTCAGGTCCCAATGGTTGTCCTCGTCGTCGCGGCCGTCAAACTTATACACGTTTCCAGACTCTTGAGTTGGAAAAAGAATTCCACTTCAACCATTACCTAACACGACGACGAAGAATTGAAATTGCCCATGCGTTGTGCTTGACAGAGAGACAAATAAAAATCTGGTTCCAAAATCGTCGCATGAAACTTAAAAAAGAATTGCGAGCTGTCAAGGAGATAAATGAACAAGTAAGTAATATGCACTGGGTTAAAATCAGAAGTATTTAAAAATAAATGCATTTGTATGTGTATATATTTGGGGTATTGATGTTTTAATAATATTTGTATGGGGTATCAACATTTGATCAATTAAGATCAATTTTGGAAGCCTTCTGAGTTCTATTTTACCCTCATTACATATTCATTGCACAAAATTGCCCAAAGAGTTTATGTGTTTTTATTTAACAACTTCAGTCAGCAATGATTTTGAATCAAATTAAAGAAAATATTTGGGGCAAATTTTTCCAAATAAACTTAAATTCTACCCAATTGGCTTAAAATATGTCCAAGGCTTTCAACATATGTGGAATGTGAAAAACGGATATTTAAAAATATGCCGACAATTGTATTAAAAAATGTAATAGTTATTTGTTTAGGACATGGTACCTAAACATTTAATTTAATTTAATTTAATTTAATTTAATTTTATTGAACTTGTGAATAGCATCTTCATAGTACTAAAATTAAGGAGATATCATTTGAAGGAAACTATAAATTTTGAAAAGAGGAAAATAATTTCAACAAATGATAAAATTGTTTCTCTAATCTAGAACATACATCCATATTGTCCTCCATTTTATGGGAGAGTAGATATAATTTATATTTCACGATTGATATTATATAATTTCAATATATATTTTACTAGCTGAACCCGGTGCGCTTCGCTACCCCTGTTGATTTTATATGCATTCAAAATTTTATTTACGAACATATGTTGGATAAAGAAAAACAAATTTAAAAATTAAAAAAAATATATTGCACTAATTTAATGCGTTAATAAACAAAATCATTACAAAAGCAGTAACATGACGTGCATACACGAAGGGTTTATCCTTTGGATTTATGTATTTCATAGCAAATACCAAGCGTGCAGGAAACTGCAATTTTTTTAAGTAGAGTGGCATTTCTATTGCTATTAGTGGATTCGAGATAGCAACATACTTCGCCGTAATAAGCGTATTTCAAATAAATTGTTGTGTTTTTTTTTAGTGTTAGCCTAAGGCGTTGTGGGTCAATGGTTCTTATTAAAATCATATCCCAATCTGATCCGATTTAAATATAATTTTAAAAAAATTACTTTTACACCAAACTCCGCCACACCTTTCATATTTCATTGAAATTGGTGCGTCAAATATGTGAAATCGGCCGAGAATATATATATGGGAGCTATATCCAAATCTTCACTAATTTCCAATTAATTTATCACATTTATTATTATAACCAAATTCCGCCACACATTCTGAATTTCATTGGAATCGGTCATATATATCGTGTTTGGTGCATAATATGTATGAAATCGGCCGAAATATATATGTTAGCTATATCCAAACCTCAACTGATTTCAATATAATTTGGCAATTTTTGCTGGTGCCAGATTTTGTCTCTCTCGCTTTGGGTGCATCAAATATGTGAAATCGGCTGAGTATATATATGGGAGCTATAAACAAATCTGAGCGTATTTGAATATAATTTGTCAAATTTATTTTCGTACCAAATTTAGCCACTCGTGCCGAATTTCATTGGAGTCGGAAATACGTATCGTGTTTTGTGCATCAAATATGTGAAATCGGCTGAGTATATATATGGGAGCTATAATCAAATCTGAGCGTATTTGAATATAATTTGTCAAATTTATTTTTGTACAAAATTTAGCCACTCATGCCGAATTTCGTTGGAATCGGAAATACGTATCGTGTTTTGTGCATCAAATATATGGTGCATATATAACCATTGGTGCATCAAATACGTGAAATCGGTCGATAATATATATGGGAGCTATATCCAAATCTGAACCGATTTCAATTTAATTTGACAAATACATTTTGGCCCCCAATTCCGTTACTTATTTTAAATTTCATTACAATTGGAAATACATGTCGTGTTTGGTCCACCAAATACATGAAATCGGCCGAAAATGTATATGGGAGCTATATCCAAATCTGAACCGATTTCAATATAATTTGGGAAATCAATTTTTTAGATAAAATCTATCACACGTTTCAAATTTCATTGAAATTGGGGATACATAGCGTGTTTGGTGCATCAAATGCTTGAAATCGGCCGAAAATATATATGGGAGCTATATCCAAATCTGAACCGATTTCAATATAATTTGACAAATTAATTTTCGGATTAAATCCCGTCACACATTCCAAATTTCATTGGAATAGAACATTCATATTGTGTTTGAGGCATCAAATGAACGAAATCGGTCAAAAATATATATGGGAGCTATATCTAAATCTGAACCGATTACAATATAATTTGGCAAACATATTTTTGTTCCAAATTCCGTTACGTATTCCAAATTTGGAGACTGTATCTTCAACCAATCAATAGATATGTGCATATAAAATCTAAATTTTTGGGAGGTACCTCCGATTCTGATGCTATATCTCCAGTTCCAATTGGAAATTCAAAAATGTATATAGCCTATGTTACTTTCAGGCGATGTTGCAGTATATATGGAAATTTTCAGTAAAATCTATTCAGCGGTTTTCGAGTCCATAAATTACAAACAAACAAACAAACAAACAAACATACAAACATTTTCCTCTTTTATAGATATAGATGCCCTGTTTTACATGTTTTTAATTTATTCTAACCTCACTTATTTATTCTTGTATTTCCAGGCTCGACGCGATCGTGAGGAGCAAGAGAAAATGAAAGCCCAAGAAGCCATGAAATCCGCCCAACAAAACAACAACAAAGTCCAACAGCAACAGCCACAGCAACAACAACATCATCCACAACAACAACAGCATCAACAACAACATCAAGATCATCACTCGATCATAGCTCACAATCCCGGCCATTTGCATCATTCCGTTGTGGGGCAAAATGATCTGAAACTAGGATTGGGTATGGGTGTTGGCAGTGGTCTGGGTGGTAATTTGGGTATGATGAGTGCGTTAGACAAAACAAATCATGATTTGTTGAAAGCCGTTAGTAAAGTAAATTCATAAATTTTACAGCTTAAGCCAATCAACTTCCCCAAATAACCATGTAATAAATAAGAAGAAAAGGCGGAAGGAAAATGACAGTAAAACTAAACTGTGAAAAAGAGAAACTTCCCCCCTTTACCATTCAAGAAGAAAACAACTAAAATTGCCCCCTCCCTTTATTTTTAAGTTCATGTACTTTCTAATATAACACATAATTACTATTACATATACCAACTAAATATAAAATTAAATTAAACATTAATGAATGAAGAAGAAAAAACAAAGCTAAGTTAAAGTCAAAAACAAAAACAAGAAAACCCTTAATGATAAATAGTTGCAACAAAATACGTAAAATTTTACATAGTAATTTTAGTTATTTAAGAAAACGAAAGTAACAACAATTAAGATTAACAAGCATAATATAAATACACAAAAACCTAAAATCTCTAAAAAAGAATAATCTCATAAAATATAAACGAAAATAAACTATTTACATTATACACAAATAAGGAAGTTTATTTAAAAAACTACATATATACTTAATTATTATATAAAAAAAAAACAAAAATAAAATAAAAACAAATATATAACATAACAAAAACAAATAATAATAAACCCTATTCTCCATATTTACTACCTATACATGAACAATACAACCAATCAAAATATTTTACACATAACATACATAATACGATACAGTACATACTCAAGTATGTAATAAAGAAAAACATATAAATTTGTCATTTAATTTTTTTAAAATTAACGCTTTTTGTTCTACCACATCTCACCCCCACTCCTTGGAAATTTTGTTTTGTTAAATATTTGTTTGTCTTTCAGAATTTTATTTTTTTTTCTTCTTTGGAAATGCAGTGCATTTTCAAAGTAAACTTTTGAGTATTTTCTTAGACTTTTATTAACATTTGACATTTTAATTTGTCTAGAATTATTTAAAATATTGTGAATGAAATGAAAATTAAAACTAAAAATAATTTAAAATTGTTTTTTCGTTTAAAAAGCTTTCAATAATAATAATTATTATTATTATTATATTATTTCTCTTTTAAAAAATTATGTTTTAATTACTTTTTAATTATTGTTTTGTTGTATATCTTTCTAGTTAAAATTTAAGCTATCTATTGATGTATGATCCGTAAATTCGAAAAGAAAGAGAATTTTTTGTAAAAAGATTTCTTTTACTTAAGCATAATGTATAATTTTTCCCCCTCCAACCTGTCCAATTCTACTCCTTGAAACTTTATGCCATATTTTAGAAAATTATTTTAATTTTTGTATGATTAAATTTAATGACACAAAAAATACATGCATCATTTTTCTTTTTCTTTCAATACACTTTAGAGGAATTGGGGAAACATTTTGGGGATCCATTTGATAAAAAAATAACTTTTGGGGATTGTTCTCATTTGTTTTGTAGTCAAATTCCAACGACTGATATGCATTAAATTTCAAGACAATTTTGCATCTTCGGTGCATATACAGGGGAGATAAAAAACTGCAACAAAATCAAATGCCATAATTTTTAAATTTTTTTATATTTTATTGAATGAAAGCAAAAAATGTCGGAAGTAGCATCATATTTAATTATGGCCTTCAAACGGCCAATGAAACCGTCACACGCTGCAGGAATGTTGCTCTGCCGTATTTTGGCCCATTCCCGGTGAAGCGCTTGCTTGATGTGATCGACACTTTTGTATTTTTTAGTGCCAACCTTGCTTTTCAAAATACTCCAGACACAATAGTCCAACGGATTGGCATCCTGAGATTTTGGTGGCTATTGTGCGCTGGAAATGAAGCGAGGAACCTCATTTTGTAACCATTATTGGGTGGCGCGTGCTGAGTGCGATGGTGCTGAGTCCTGTTAGAATGTCCAAGGTCTGCGATAAAAATGTTTGCGTGCCCAAGGCTTTAATACACCCTCCAGAATATTTTTGCGATAATATTCGGCATTTATTCTAATGCCACGGTAGATTAATACGAGCGGAGAGCGACCATCGGATGTTATGGTGGACCACACACCATCACCATGGCCGGCGCTTGAGTGCTGGTGGCCAACAGAAGGTGCACATTTTCAGCTGACCTCTTTGGCAAGTAAACACGTTCATTCTGTTTGTTTAAAACTGCTGGACAACGAATGTTTTCTCATCGGATAAAACCAAATTCGGCAGTTCACCACTTTCGGCCAAACGAAGCAACTCTTTAGCTCTTTCTGTTGTGGTGTAAGTTCTTGCACTTTTTGGAATTTCAAGGTCTAATTTTTCATATTTTCCGAATGGAATATTGCGATATATTCAGCTCACGAGCCATTTTTTGGCCACTGCGACGCGGGTTTCTATCAAGTCGCTTCTTTACTTTTCGAGCAATTTCTGCTGATGATGTTGTTTTCTTCCGTCCACTTCCTTGACGGTGCGGTGTTGCGGCGTAAGTTCTTGCACTTTTTGGAATTTCAATGGCTCATTTTTCAATTTTTGCCGAATGGAATATTTCGATACGTTCAGCTCACGAGCCATTTTTCGGCAACTGTGACGCGAGTTTCGATCTAGTCACTTTCTTACTTTTCGAACCATTTCTGCTGGTGTTGCTGTTTTCTTCCGTCCACTTCCATCACGTCGGGCTACGCTACCAGTTTCGCGGTAAAGGGAGATGGTACGAGACACAAAAGATTTATTCATGTTTAATTGCTGGAATGCTCTAACGATAGCCACTTGCGGTTTTCTAGACAAATATAAAGAAATCACACCATCACGCTGGAATTCCATCACGAATAACTTTTTTTCTGAAAATTCTCACCAATTTGTACACTTGTAAACAATATACTAAGCTGTAAATCGAATAATTTTAACAGCTGTCGTAAGAGTGGCTTAGAAATGACAGCAGTCTGAAGATAGTTGCAGTTTTTTCATCTCACCCTGTATGTGAACGGCAGCTACACAAATTTCTGCTTCAACTGTTCCGATATCTTTAATAATATTTTTGTACATTGAAATATAGGTTGGATGCACCATTAAGAAGAATACTCAATATATTCATCCGCATAAAATTCTAATCCGAATTATCGATGCCCATTTGTCTGTTGAAGCTGATTTTTGATTTTGATTGAAAGTGTATTTTTGCTGCACTAGTAAATGCTAAAATAAACAAATGTGAACAGAAATATTATTCTAAATAAATATTGACATATTGTTTTGTGATTTGATAAAATTGTATGTATGTGCGCCAAAAATTAATATTTTGCATTCATACAGATTGTTATTTAGCAAATTTTACGGATTTTTTGTGATATTTCAGCAACCCAAAAGCAATTGACTGAATTTAACATTCGATTTGGAGTGAACTTTTTACAGAAACCCTATCATAACTAACAAGAGAATGGGTAAAATCGCTAAAATCATCAAAGTACCGAATATCGGGAGTACCGTTATGTGGGGGCTATACGAAGATGTGGACCTGCATAGACAATTTTCTATCACAGGCTGAAGTATCTATTACGAACTTTAAATACCAAATGTATAATAATAACAGGTGGATAATGTCGCTAAAATCATCGAAGTACCTAATATCGGGAGGTACCATTATATGGGAGCTATACCAAATCGTGGACCTACATCACCCATTATCAATACCAATGGTCCTGCAGACATAATACACATTTGAGTAAAATTTTATTAACATTATTCATTCGTTGGGAAGCAAGAGTGATTTCCACAGACGGACGGACGTAGCTAAATCGACATAGAATTTTATGCTGATCAAGAATATATATACTTTGTGGGGTCTACAATGTACATTTCAAGGAGTTACAAACGGAATGGCAAACTTAAAAGGTACGCAAAAAATGCACATTGGGACAAAATTATGTTTAATAGACATCGTATTATATAATTTTGCTGTATCAATAAACCGAAGTTATTTTAAACACTGGGAAAATAAAATATTCTTTTCGTCACAATTAGTAGAGAATAGCTGACGTATAAAGAGGGTTTCCCACATAAAACATAAATTGGAAAATATGGACTCGTCTTCAGTAGCTTCCGTAACTTCACAGCAAATGTACACATAATGTAGATATAATATTTCTAAAATGTATTTCTGCAATTTCCAGTGCTTTCAAAATGTGTTTATCCTTCGACGAAATGTCCCATCGCATTTGAAAAAAATACATATTTATTTATGGGCAAATTAAAAATATAATAATCTTTGATTTCAGCTTGAAAGAAATGTTGCTTTCCACGATTTCTCAGCAATTCCTTGGATTGCTACAATATTTGTACCCACAGCTACATTCAGAGAGATTTTCATCAAACATTTTCAATGAAATTAAATTAGTTTTTCAATATTTATTGTTTTATTTGAATTTGTTGACAATAGAATTACTTTGGATTTTGACACTAGAATTACTTACAGTAACAAATTTCTATGTCGATGTTGTTGAATGGTATTTGTTGTAGTTTAGCCTCTATTTTCTAATAATTCAACCATGGCTAAATGCCTGGGATTGAAAAGCGGCATATTTTTCGAATTTTTTGATATACTCGGTTATTCTAGATATGTTCAGTAGATGATTATACTTGAAGCTTGTTTTGATTTAAAAATTAGCATTGTGTTGTGGGTTTCTAATATTTGAAAATACAATAAGAGACCTATACTTGACTATTTTTTAACCGAGGCCTCAGTTGTTTTTTTTTTTTTTTTCGAAAATTCTGTTACTTTCAAAAATATACAAGTTATATACAAACGATTTAATTGTTTAAATGATGTGTTTCTAGTCTAAGAATATTCCAAATTCTTTTGAAATCCACTCCGGTTGGTTTCACTTTATATATGTGCCCAATTGCGAGACTATAATTTCTGTTCAGTATTCTTGTAGTTTACAAATCCTAAAAAATAGGGCATTTTTCAAAAGAATGACATTATTACTGTATCAACTTAATGATATTTGGTATGTTACAGACACACGACATAATCATGAATACAAAAATACGTAAAAACTATTTTAAAAGTAACTAAAAGTTAATTTACATTACTGAAAATACATAAACCTGTTAATTTTAAATAAATAAGCCGAAAAGAAGAACAACAATATGCGATATGCTTTAATATTAACAACAGAAAAACACTTAGTCGGATTCAACTAAAAAAAACACACAAAATGATAAAGCCAAAATTGAACACAAACCCCCAAACAAAAATCTCAAATACGTATTAGATATTAGATATAATATTGTAAATTATAGACATATAAAAAAACTTCCGTTAAAATAAACAAACTAAAAATGTCAAGAAAATGAATTAAATAAAAGCACACAAAATACGTACTAAAAAATGTGAGTGAATATAAAATATATATATTAAAAATAAATGAAATAAAAATACAACTAAACGGAAAACAAAGTCCTAACTATATTTTACATGAGATATATAAAACATTACACAAAACATATTTTCACAATAACAATAAATTAGTTTTCTGGGAATGTCGTTGAAGAACCGATGCATACGTAGACTTTTTGAACTATATGTCCAAAATGGTTAACACAAAAATCCAGATAAGTTTTAATACATACATACATACAACGTAGATACGTATTACTATACAAAAATACATTTTGAATGAATGTAAAATTAAAAAAAACACAAAATCCTCCCAGAAGAAAACTCATCCTTAATATTATTATACTTCCATAAACAAATAAAAAATAATAAATTAAAATCCATGAAAACCAAAATAACAATGATTAAACTAAAAAATACTTAAATTCAACAAATAAAAATATGAATAAAATGTAAGCGGTTTGTTTTAATTAATGTTTGCAACATAATGAACAATTCCAAACGGTGAGCGTGGGGTTCCATTAACGACTTCGGGGTAGTTCAACTCCTTATTCGCACAGGAAAATTGAATGCTATATTTAGCATGCAGTTGGATTTTGGCTCAATTCCAAACTCTGATAAACAAATTGATCGACAATTTGAATCCGACAAAAGCATAATATTTTGTCTAATTTTGCATATGTTAATTGTCTAATTTTGCATACTTATTTCGAAATTAATTTCTACTCCCCGGAATAATCAAATAACTACTCTTCATATTTAAGGCATTTACAAAAAATATTCTGCCAGTTTGTGGAAATCACTCTAACTTTCGAACAATTTGACTTACATAATTAAAATTGTGTTTCAATGTATTCGAAGTCTGTAGAAAATTTGGAATTTTGTGTTCCAAGAAAGAAGAACTCATACTTGTTTGCAACGTTAGATGTCGTAATTTTAGTTATGCCTTTCACTGGTATTAAGTTTCAAAATT